CGGGCCCTGGGAAGCGATACTCTCTCGACACTGTTTCGATTTTTCTGGGTGCTCGAAATCATTTCTGGGATTTGGTCCTTAAGTACGATGGGGACAGCATGAAGCCAGGCCACACAGTATGCCATGGAGCTCCAGCCGCCCCCCCCCGTGCGTGCAGTGCCCGCGCCTGGGCTGTGCGCCGCTTTTTGCCCCCCCCTCCTCCTCCTCCTCCTCCTCCTCCTCCTCCTCCTCCTCCTCCTTGTGCTTTCAGAGGGGGGGGGGGGGGGCCTTGTAGACCCAGCCTGACACACGCAGTGTTGGAGGCTCGGGTACGAAGGCCCGAGGGGCATCACCCCCAGCCCAGAGCAGAGATAGGGTAAAGTACTTCTTCCTTGGCGAGCGAAGTCTTGCGCGAGGCTGCACGGCGCATGAAACTCGACACCTCGAATCCCAGGGATTACGGTCGTGCGAGGTTTTGCTTTGGCCGAGCTTCGAGAGCTCGGCGATCAGCAGGTCAGACGATGAGACCACACGCAATGCCGAGTCTTCTTCTTCTTCTTCTTCTTCGTCTTCTTCTTCTTCTTCGTCTTCCTCCTCCTCCTCCTTCTCCTCCTCGTCCTCCTCTTTCTCCCCCCTCCGCCCCCCGCGAGTACCGCGAAGAATATGGGGCCGAGCTTGGGGGAGGGTGTGGTAGCGGCGGCGGCGGCGACGACTCGAAGCACGAACAGCGGCATAAACATAAACTTTTGGCGCTCCGCGCTGATTTCTTGGATCTGCGCTGGGACCCCCTGGCGGCGCCTCCGGCGCCGCCCCTGGCGCGCTCCGCGCGCCAAGGAGGGAGGTCCAGCGCAGATCCAAGACATCCGCGCGGACCATCAAAAGTCTATGTTTATGCCCTTCGTTTTCCTCTAACGACGGTCCGCTGAGGGTTTCGGGCGTCCTCGTCGGTTCCAGGGGGATTCCAGCCTATCGGGGTGCTCTTCCATGGCTGCGCCTCGCCGATGGGGGCGCCCGGATCGTGCCGAAAGGCTGCCAGAGGCTCGAGTGATGACCAGAAGGCGAGAGAGCGTGCCACGCGAGCGCGCCTGTTGGCTGCTCGGCTTCGTGCAGGGCGTGGGTGGGGGGTCATTCCAACGCGGTGGAACCATTACAGTCATAGAGCTTGGAGTTCATTGGACAAACGCGTGCCTTCAATTCTGGGAAGGGGGCCAGAGAGTGAGGGAGGCAGGGAGGAGGCAGAGGGGAGTGTGGCAAGCTCGATGCGCTCGCGCCATATCTGACAAACCATCCTTCCCGCTCATCATTTCCCATTGCGCCTGATTCTTTTCTGACCGCCGACTGGAGTGTCCTAGGGGGCTCAGACCTCGAAAGCGACCCCATCGTGTGATGCCCGATCAGAGATGGAGGGCCTCGTTTGACCAAAAAGCAAACGGCACCACCCCACCTACGGTCCTCCATGCTGCGCTGGAGGGCCGTAGGTGGGGTGGTGTCGTTTGTTTTCTGGTCCACTCGTAGATTGGACGAGGCAGATGTGGCGGACGAGCAGGAGGAGAAGAGAAGGGGAGGGGAGGGGAGCAGGCCGAAGGCGCGGTGCAAGTGCTTTGGTTCACCCTGGAGGGCGCGTCGCAAATGATGGGGCCGCCTCCGGCAGCCCTGAACTTAAATTACCTCAGCAACGCACCTGATAGCAGCACAGGTAAAGAGGTGGGCCGGGACAGGGGCGAGACCACGGCGGTGTGGACCTGACAGGGGCTCGAGGCCACGGGCATGTGAGACCGGGCGTGGACCCGGAGCAAAAGTGGAGCCGGCACTGTGGCGAGAGCACGCTTCTTCAACACACTGCGAGAAAGTCTCGGGCGAAACGGCTGCCGGCCCGGGCGATCGAGGGCTCTCCGCCCTCCCCTCCTGTGGAGCTCTCCTGTTGTCCAGTTCGGTGCCAGCCTGTGGGCCAGTCTGTGGTTCCCGAAGGAGAAAAAACATAAGCATAAACTTTGACGCTCCGCGCGGATTCCTTGGATCCGCGCCTGGGCCCCCCTGGCGGCGCCTCCGGCGCCGCCCCTGGCGCGCTCCTCGCGCCAGGGAGGGGGGTCCAGCGCAGACCCAAGAAATCCGCGCCAAGCGCCACAAGTTTTTGTTTTTATGTGGTTTTTCCTCTTCTAGGTTCGCTCTTCTATGTGGCCAGCCTGGTGTGCACTTAAGGCAGAGAGCTCTTGCCCACACGAGCGGTGCAGCCACGGCCTCTGAGCACACCCATCGACTGCCGCAGCGTGGGAGTGCGCTCGCTGTTCTCGAGATGGCGACACCTGTGGTCCTTCCTCGCTGCTGCCGGCTTCCGCCGACCTTGCGCCCGCGGTCCCCGCCGCCGATCCGCCTCCGCGCGGCCCTCCGCGCGCTCGGGCGGCATGGCTGCGCCGAGGGTGAGGCCTGCTCTGCGGCCGCGCCGCCCGCACCCCAGGGGCCCGGCGCTCGCGGACAAGCCCGCGGGGGCGCGGAGATCCTCGCGCCTCGCGCGGCCCTCCGCCGCCAAGGCGCGGTGGTGCGCCGAAGAGGGGGCCTCCTCCGGGGCGCGCCGCCCACACCCGGGCGGGGCCTGGCGCCCCGCGGGGCCCGTGCAGGTGCTCGCGCCCCGCGCAGCCGCGGTCTGGGCCGGAGGGGCTGCCCTTCTCCGAGGGGGGCGGCGCGGGGGCGCGAAGGTGAGCGCGTGCCGCGCTTCGCGGGGCGCGGCGGGCGAGGTTAGAACGTCTGCTTGGCCTGTCACGCCGCCGGCTCTGGCCCATCGCGCCTCGGCCCCCCCCCTCCTCCTCCTCCTCCTCCTCCTCCTCCGCCTCCTCCTCCTCCTCCTCCTCCTCCTCCTCCTCCTCCTCCTCCTCCTCCTGCCTCTCCTCCCTTCCCACCTCCTCCTCCTCCTCCTCCTCCTTCTCCTCCTCCCCCTCCTCCTCCCCCCCTCCTCCTCCTCCCCTCCTCCTCGCGCTACTCCCTCCCTCCTACCCTCCTGCCGTGTCCCCGAGCGTCCACGTCCCGAGCTCTTGGACGCCTCCCGCCATGCGGAGCGGAGCGACATGCGCTGAGCTCGCAGGGCAGAGCGTGTCTCCAGGACCGCAGACGCGACACGCTGGGCAAAGGTGTGCAGCCGTAGGTCGGCGAGGAATGAGCAGCCTTGGATCTACTATTTCACATGCGGCAGGTTCGTGCCGTGTCGGCACGGCGGCCACACCCCAGCCGCCAGTGGCCTTCAGTCGGCCGATATCGAACGCTCATGCGCGATCGGCGAGCCACGACCGTTCCAGGTAAAGCGACACACCGTTCTGAGGACCGTTCTGAGGCTGCGCGCTGCTGCTCTTGAGTGACTTCTTGGTGCGCCTGGGGGGGGCTCTTTGGCCCCCGCGTGCGGTCTCTGCGTTGTCCTCCTCCTCCTCCTCCTCCTCCTCCTTCTCCGCCTCCTGCTCCACGCTTTTCCGCCGCGCATTGTGGTGACAAGCTTAGGGGAGTCGGGCTTGTTTTCCGCGGGAAGAGACAAACGAGCAACCAACAGAAAGGTTGAGCGACACGCTGAGCAGCACTTCCCGACCGTGAGCCCCCGCGGGCGCCGCGTGGGGAGGGCCCTCGGCCCCCAGGCGGCTCCAGAGGCGAGGCCGACCCCGCGGAAGTGGCGGCCCGGCGGCCACGGCGGCGGGCTGGGCGGCCGCGCCCAGGAGGGCCGCCGCGACGACGACGCTGACGACGCCGACGACGCCGACGACGCCGACGACCATGACGGCGTCGACGACGACGGCGGCAGCGGCGACGCCGACGCTGCCGACGTAGCTGACGCCGACGACGCCGACGATTACGACGACGACGACGAGGATTGCGACGACGACGACGACGAGGACGACGAGGACGACGACGACGACGACGCACCGCCGACGTATCGCCGATGCATCGCCGCGAATCGCCGATGTATCGCCGATGCCTCGTTGATGCATCGACGACGTTTGCGATGCATCGGCGACGTCGGCGTGGAGAAGATCGGGCTCCACATCGAGCCGCACCGCCGATGCATCGGCGATGCGCCTCGACCCTCCGACCCCACCTGTTCCGATCCCAACTGGGAGGCCCTTTTAGCTATTCTAGACGCCCCGCGCAACCCCACCAGCCCATCCAGAAACGATGCCCTGCCAGGCTGTTCTGTGGACGTGACAGCTCAACATTACAGTCGCCGCCCGCGGGGCGAGCAGGCGCTGCGCCCAGTGCCCCTCCGGCCCCCGCCCTGCTCGGCTGGCCTCCGGCGCGCCTCCGTGGGGCGGGCCCCCCCCCCTCCGAGCAAATCCGCCGCGCCCCGCGCGCGCGCGCGCCCGGCAGGGCACAGCTCTCCGCCCGCCGCTGTCGACGGCGGCGCCGTCGTCGGCGCCATCGTGGTCGCAGGCGTCGTCGTCGGCGTCGTCGTCAGCGGCGGCTTCGTGGTGGAGGTCTGCAGTGGTCGCGGTCTTGTCTTGGCGGTGGGTCGCAGTGCAGGCTGGCAATGGCTCCGTCGCGCAGCGCGCACACGGGCAGTGCCTGCCGGGCAGGCCCACGAGACCCAGCGAGGTGCCCACGAGGCCACCTCACCCGAAGAAGTCGGCGTCGACGTGGTCGTGGCCGTCGTCGTGGTGGTGGCCGTCGGGTCGTCCTCTTCGTGGTCGTCGTCGTCGTCGTCGTCGGGTCGTCCTCTTCGTGGTCGTCGTCGTCGTCGTCGTCGTCGTCGTCGTCGTCGTCGTCGTCGTCGTGGTCGTCGTCGTCGTCGTCGTCGTCGTCGTCGTCGTGGTCGTCGTGGTCGTCGTCGTCGTCGTCGTCGTGGCCGTCGTCGTCGTGGTCGTCGTGGTCGTCGTGGTCGTCGTCGTCGTCGTTTTGGTGGTGGTGGTGGTGGTGGTCGTCGTCGTCGTCGTCTTCGTGGTGGTGGCCGTCGGGTCGTCGTCGTGGTCTTCGCCGTGGCCACGGTCGTCTGCGTGGTGGCCGTCGTGGAGCGGCCGTCGCCGCCTTTCCGCCCCGCTGCTCGCCGCCCGAGAGACGGGGGCGCCGAGCCTCCGCTGCGCAGACGCGAAGAGAGCCCGCCCGCGCATGGCCGCGGCGGCGGCGATCGCGAGGCAGGCGAGGGGCGCAGGCGATTGCGCTTTCGCTTTCGCCGTGGTCGCCGCCGCCGCCGGTGCCGTCGCCGCCGTCGCCGCCGTCGCCCGGCTGCGCGTGAGAGTGACCCGTCGCCTAAGTGACCTTTGGTGCGGGCTCACGCTCGCGCGCCTGGGTTCGGCTTCCCCGCGGCCTCCGGAAGCCGCGTGTCAGAGGTCACTCCTGCCTGGGGTCACTCGTGCGAGTAGCCGAAACGCCGCCGTCGTCGCTGCCGCCGCCGCCGCCGCCGCCGTCGTCGGTGCCGCCGCGGGCGTTGCCGCGGCCGCCGCCGCCGCCGTCGCCGCCATTCAGGGTCAACGTTATGGGGTTATGGGGGGATGCGCAGGCTCAGGGGGTGAACGCATGGACCCCCGATCGCCCATTCATCGTCGATAGGGGCCCGATGGCCCACCCCGCCCAGGAACATGTGGTTTCGCAAACGTGGGCCTATCCGAGACGCATCGGCGCTGTATCGCCGATTTACGCTTGGTGTTTTCCCCCGCTGAGCTGGTCACCCCGTATCGTTGCCCCTCACCGCCGTTGCTGCGGTCGCCGCCGTTGTCGCTGCCGTCGTCGCTGCCATATCTGCGACTATCGCCGCCGTCGTCGCAGTCGCCGCCGTCGTCGCTTCCGTCGTCGTCATCGCCAGCGCCGACCCCGCGTTGGCGCCGCCGTCGTCGCCGCCGCCGCCGCCTTCGTTGTCGCCGTCGCCAGCGTCGGCAGTGAAGAGAGAGATACTGAGGTGGAGGAGGAGGATGAGGTGAGGGAGTGGAAGGAGGAGAAGGGGAGCGATAAGCCCTCTTTCACTGCATTTGTTCTTCCTTCCTGCTACCGGTTCCTCCATCTCTGGCTCGTTTGCCTCCTCCCCCCATCCTCCTGCCCACCTTCCCGACCTCTCAATTCCCCCTGTCCTTCGGTCACTGCCAGTCCTCCTCCTTCTCCTCCTCCTGCTCCTCCTACTCCTCCGCCTCCCTCTCCTGTCTCGCCCTCCTGCTTCTCTATCGCCGCCCTGCCCCGCTTCAGTCTCCCCACTACTCCTGTCCTTCCTGCTTCGTCTCTGTGTTTCCTCGTTCTCCCTCGCGCCAAGGCCGAGCCTAGAGCATGCTGCAGTCCAGCAAGCGGGAGCCGGAGCGCAAGACGGAGCGCAAGGCCAGGTGGTGGCCTCGGCGATGTGCCCGCGCGGGAGCTCTGGCCATGGCCCCGTCTTGGGCCCAGGGGCTCGTGCACGGTCCTCGCGTGGCCTGGCCAGCAGTGGAGAAGGAGAACAGCAGAAGCATCAGCAGAACGACCCCTCCCCGGGGGGGTAGTGTGTCGAGCTCGGTTAACTTGTGATAGCCTCGGGGCCCGAAGAGGGCTTTTGGGAGGCCGAAATCGGCTCGAAACCGCCAGGATTAAAAGCATCATGACGTCGGAGGTCTGGGGATCGTGCACCAGCCCACGGCGCACGGATGGGCCAGGCCGGGCCTCGCACCAGAGCATCGCTGGTGGCACGCTCCTGCAAAGGCGGAGGACCTGGAGCAGCCCCTGGTTGCAAAGTCGGAGGTCGTCTCCTTAGTCGGCGGTCCACCTCAGAGCCAACCAGGGGGCTTTGGTGGTCCAGCACCGCTTCCGGCCAGCAGACGCCGCGTGCCGTACGGCCTCGCGCCTCTCGGTTCTCGGCTCGCGCTGTGTTGTCTTCCTGGCGGCCTCGTTCCTTGGCTCTCCGGCGAGGAGCGGCAAGCGGAGTCGAGCGTACAGTCGGCCACCGCTGCTCCGCCTCGCGCTGCGGCGCACCATTGCTGCGATGGTGTGCAGTGCTCGCAGGTGGAGGCATCATGTAAGTGGTGTTCGCGTACGGGGGGGCAACAAACACCGTTGCGGCCAGCAGACAGGAAGAGGAAAGGAGCGCCCCCTCGTCGCCACGGCTGGGTGCGGCTCGCACACTTGGGCCGCTTCGACCCCCGGAGGAGTCCCAGGACAGACGTGCTCACCACCGCCTCTGGACCTATTTTCTCGGGGCTTAGCCAGCTCAGACAGCCCAGCCGCCTCCAATCCAATGTCCACCCGAAGGGCCAGGGGGCGCCCAGGACACCTCGAGCAGCGAACAGCGACATGCACATACACGTCTTCGGATGTCCGCGCGGACCTGCGGACGCTTCTGCCTCGTGCTTATTCAATGTCGCCTTTTTCTTATTCCAACAATCCCGAGCGGACCGTCCAGAGACCTTAAGGACGAGGCCCGAGGCCTCTTCCTCTTGGGCGATCTTGGCTGCTCTCTGGCTTGTGGAGGGTCCCCTCGAGCTCAATCCGAGGCCCAACCCATACGTCCAACGCTTTCGGCCTTTGGGGGCCCCTGGGAACGTCAAGGAACGACCCAGGATGAGAGACGCCAGCCCCGGGAAAGTGGTTGGGACTTCCAGGGGACCCCTGATCGAACAAAAGCAATGCATCGGATCTCTGGGCAGAGGTCTCGACCCCTCCCTTGGGGGGGACGAGACCGAGGAAGAGCACCACACGGCGGAACAGAACCGGTGCGCCCGAGGTCTGAGCGGGCTGCTCCGTGGCCTCTGCAGGGCCCCGCTCGAGCTCGATGGTTTCGGAGGGGCTCGATGCGCTGAAAAAAACACAGCGGCAGGCTTCTCGCAATTTTCGCCTGCTGGGGGCTCGCCCTGGGCCCCGGGAACAACGACTCGAGATGCAAAGCCGGCTCCGGGGCTGGGGACGAGACCTCCAGAGTCCACGTCATGAAGGACACATGACGGCGGGGGTCTGGGTGCACACCACGCTGACTGGACGGCCTCAGACCCAAGGAGCTCGGCGCAGAAATCCGGCGTGTAAAGACGCTCCAGCGCCTCACAGGTTGGGAGGCTGGGGCACCTACACGCCGAGCTCAGGTGACCCCAGGGGTCGCGAAGATACAGTGGGGCATCTGATCAAGAAACCGCCTCCCCAAAAGCTGGGCCAGCGTCTTTATTTAACTTGCCGAAGACTTAGATCTGGCCCAGTTCCTGGAGCAGGTTCGTCCCTCCAGCGTCAACCACAGAACGTGGCCCAGGCTTGTTTTTTTTCGGAAGCCTCGGCAAGCTGGCCCAGGTTTCTCAAGCCGCTGTCTCGTTGACCGTAACCTCGGCTGCGCTTGCGCCTCGCGTGTCGGTGTGTTCGGCCTCAGCGGTCGACCTCCTCCTGGGGTTCAGTCGGGCCTTTCCCTCTAGAGGAGGAATCATCAAACAATAGTCAAACAATAGTCGGGGGACGATTGTCTGACTATGTTTATGCATCTTGGGAGTTTTTTCTGTTTGCGAATCTGTTGTATTTTTCGCCCAAAATCCCCCTGCAGGGGGACGGGCCCGACCTCCTCCCGGGGGGGCGGGAAGGGGGGGGGCGGGGGGCGGGCAGCGCGACCGGGCGCGACCGGGCGCGACGGTGCTCGCGCACGACTGGGCGCAGCGCGGGGCGCGAGGCGCGAAGGGAGGTGCAGGTCGGACCTGGCTGTTGGCAGGAGGGAAAGAGGCAAAGAATAGTACACCTTAGGCGATGTTTAAGAAAACTTAAATTTTCGGCCAGGGTCTCGATTATTCTTAAAGTTTCAATGTAAATCCTAAGATTCGAATGGGAATTTTGGGTTTTTATTCAAGATCTGAGACTATGAATTTCTTAACCCATGATTTCTTAAGCATTTCGCAGGGTGTATGGGGACGATGTTTCTGGTATTTGTTGACCATGTTGGAGATTTGCCGGGTAGTTTGATTTTTAGTCCAAAATCCGCCTGTGGGGGACTGGCCCGATCTAAGGTTACACCCATCAGAGATCTGAGGAAAAACAGGAATTCGCAGGTTTTCGAGATTCCGCGGAAGAATATCAGAAACCTGTGTTGGGCCCTGGGCGTTTTCCTGGAGCTTCTGTTTGTGTCGAATGCTCGCGAATTGCTGGACCTGGGCCACTGTGGAAGAAAACGCTTCGAGGGGAATCACATGTCTGGCAATGTCTGTACTTGGAGTTTCCTTAGCTCTGAGCACGGGTGTACCTAGATTCTCTGACACCCGCCGATCTGACTTCCAACCCGCCGCCCCCAGACCCCCTTCGAGTACTGGAGCAGTCACGGCGGGAGGTTTTTCGATGTGCTCGGCCTCTGGGTGCCCTTGCCGCCCATCGGGGCCGTCAAGGGACGACTCGGGATGAGAAAACTGTGCCCGGGAATGGGTCGAGACCTCTGGGGGTAGAATTTATGAAACAGAATCATGACGTCGGAGGAGGAGGAGGAAGAGGAGGATGAGGAGACAACGAAGCGGTACCTGGGAAGGAATCGAGAACTCTGGGGTAGAGTTTATGAAACAAAACCATGACGTCGGGGGACTAGATGCTGTGACGCCCGCCGATCTTACTTTGCCGTTCCGCCGCCGAGATGGTCCGACCCCTTCCCTCGCAGGGCCCATTCGGGCTCTCCTCCTCCTCCCTCCCCCTCCTCCGTCCTCCTCCTTCCTCCTCCCCCTCCTCCTCCTTCTACCCCCCCCTTCGATTATTCATCTTCGGTGGCTTCCAATTCCGATTCGATTCGGCTTGGGACTCCGGTCCGTATTATGCCGAAAAGTTGGGTCAGCGTTTCTTCATACATGTGCCGGAGAGTTGGCCCAATTTCTTGAGCACGTTCGCCTCTGCAGCGTTCACTACAGAATTTGGCTCAGGTATGTTTGCATAAGCTTCTGGGAACAGGGCCCATGTTTACTCACTGATAAGTTTCTTGATCATTTTCCCAGCTGTCGATTCTCTGACATACGCTGATCTGCCTTTGTCAATCCGCTCCCCTAAAGGTCCCGACCCCTTCCCCTGTGGCAGTTTTCGCCCCGGGTCAATCTCTGATGGTCTCGGCGCCCGATCACGGGCCAGAGAAAAACCGAAATCGAGGCAGAACGCCCCGATCGACCGAATCGGTAGTCCGAGCCCCTCCAACCTGGGTCCCCCCCCTGGCCTCTCGGGCGCCTGGACCGACCTCGGCCCGTCGGCCGCGCGCAGGAGTGACCCTTTGCCGGAGTGACCTCGTGTGCGGGCCCACGGGGGCCCCGCCAGCACTGGCGGCCGCGCTTGGACTGCGTTGACTTGGCCTCCCCCGCGGTCATCCCAGTAGCCGTTCTGGCCCAAGTTTTTGGGCTTGCAGGAGCTGTCTTCAGAGCGGCAGTCGCTCCTGCGGGTCTTTGTGGCTCGGAATCTCTTTGTGAGCTCCTGGTGGAGCAAGCTTTCCTGAGACAAGCCGTGCATTGCATGGCTCGACGCGATGAGGCGGATGTACTCCCAGGGCCCCGATCGCCCTACTGGGGGTGTCCAAGCTGTGGCAGGAACCAGAATTTCGCCTGTCGGATACGTTGCGTCTGCGGGCAGTCAGCCCCGAGGGCCAGTGTGGAGCGCGCGCGCACTGCAGCTGCCTCTTTGGGCCCATCGGCTCGTGCTGCTCCTGGCGGTCCTCCTGGGCAGCCTCGCGGCCCTCGCGGTGCGTGGGCCAAGGGCCCCCCAGCCGATCTGTCAGGCCAGCTGGCAGCCATGGAGAAGCGTATCATGGAGAAGGTTGTCGCCAAGTCGAGCCCTCCCGCGGGTGTCGCGGCCAACGGAGGGGGAGGTGGCGGCTCGGCCCAGGCTGGAGGCGGTGGCGGCGACGCTCAAGCCGCACCGCCCTCTGATGATGACAAACTACGTGTTCGAGTGCAGCACTTGGAGGAGTCCATGCAGGCCCTTCGCAAGTGTGATGGAGTGCCAGCGTCTGCCATTGAGACCGTGGAGGGTGAGCTCAAGGCGGCGCGGGCTGCAGTGCAGTCCAAGAAGCCAGTGCTGTCCCGCGCCACCACGCTGGGCCACAAGCTGGCGGACAAGCAGAAGAAGTGCGAGGCTCTCGACAAGTCTATTGCGGAGCAGAATAAGGTTGTGGAGGAGGCGCAGCGGGCGTTGGCGGAGCTCAACGATCGTCAGCGCAGCCTGCGCGTGGACATCGACGCGCTCAAGATCGAGTTGCAGGCGGCGATGCAGCAGGTGGCTCCTTCGGCCCCCGAGCAGCAGGTGGAGGTCGACCTTGAGCTGGACCCGAGCGTGCTCGAGGGCCCCGAGGCGGAAGGGGTTAAGACGATGCTGGCTTCGCCCGAGTTCGCCAAGTTCAGGCAGCTCTATGCGGCCAAGGCGGCAGCGGCGCGTGCCCAGCAGCAGGCCCCTTCGCAGGAGCCTGGCGGCGGACATGGTGCAGCACCAGGAGCCGCTCCTGCAGCGGCCGAGGTCCGTGCTGGTGATGATGACGTGGACATGGAGGAGCTCTCCGACGAGAAGGTGCAGCAGGTCATTGCTGCGGCGCGAAAGGAGGGCCCCGACCACGAGAAGGAGGTCGCGGATTTGCTCGAGCAGCTTGGTATCAGGGCGAAGAAGCAGCGGTGCGGGTGACGCCCTTCACTGCTGCCGTGCGCCTCTCTTGTCAGGCATTCCGCTGTCTTCTGCTGGTGTACCTGTTCCACCTCTTCGTGGAGGCCCCAAGGTGGCCAGTGGGGACCCGTTTTTTTTATCGAGACGTTCAACGGTTCGTGTTGGAAGAC